CCACTCGTCTGTGTATAAATATGTGTAATCTCTCATCTAATAAGATAACTCATTCTCCATTTACACTGGGTTCATCTAAAGATACTCTCTTCGCTCCTAATCGATCAAGGCGAGTACTCTCGGCCTCTTTATCGAGAGCCAATATATACGACGTACAATCAGACATCGTTACCATATCCCAGAGGTAAATAACAGAATGAAAAACAGAGGATAACAAAGAAGTGAAGAACATAGTGAAAATTATGTGGTCTATATCATAGCAGGAAACATAAGGAATAAACAAATAAAAGCAGTCGATTATCTCAATAAAATTGTTACAGATATTCCCAAGACCAAAAACAAAACAAAACACACTAATTTCGATTTGTTTAAAAAAAAATCCCACCATAAAACTCTAAAAATGAAGCACACTAATATGCAAGAGGAAAATATTAATGTCATCGAATAAATTAAGGAAAAAGTTGAAAATTTTTCTTGAGGCACAAGCAATTTCTTATTATGGAAACGAATATGAAAAAATGCAGTAGAAAACATTTTTTGTTATAAAAGATTTTAAGGTTTCTCTGTTCTCTCCAATACAAATACATTCCCTTTCCCATCTCTTCCTACTTGTAAATCTTCGTCTAAATATCTGTCAAAAATTCATAAAATCAAGGAATCCATAAATAGAAAATCGTGATTACGTTTCATGTATTTTGACTAAAAAAAGGATACGACATCTCGAATTGTCCTTCGGGGTTGAAGATACCTAAAAGAAGATTCAAGTTCTTCCTGAAAATGTTCATCAACTGATTCCAACACAATTCAAGATAATTTTCCATTTTTTTCTATAAACTGATGATTATGTCAGAGAAGAATAAGAAAACAAGAAACACAGACCTGGTCTGGTACGATCGTTGAGCTTTCATAAGTTATCTCAACACTCTACAAAACAAAACGCACTTCTTTCAAAACGCGATTTTTTTTAAAACGCCATAAATTGTTAATTGTAGTGTACCGATTTTGATGTGATCTTGAAAGAAGCGACGATTCTAAACTCGCCGTCGTGTAAATTCAGTCCCCGGACATCAAATTTCAACACATGGACCATTTTGCCCTTTTTGTCAATAATTAAAAAAAATCAGACACCACAGAAGAAGCTTTGAAGATCTTTGTCGAATTTGATTTTGATTTTACCTGAGCAATGTCGATTTGTTGAAGAAGATCACCGAGAGAGACGAAAGTTCGAAGACCCAATTTGGTTCTCTTAGAACCCAACACAGTGATTGTACTGTAAATCAGTTTCCAACAACCTCCGATCTTATCTAACTCTCCGGTCGGCTCCGGTGTCGGATTTCGACATTCCAAAAGCTTCACCAGATGCTCGATCTCTGTTTTTTTATCCGAATTAACCCCGAAAATTCCTCTATTGATCCCTTAAAGTACCAAAAAACAAAACAAAACAAATTGTCTAAAAATTGAACTGAAAGTGGATAAAGTATAGATTTTTTGGTTCTTGCATGATAGTGAAAGGAGTGAATCTAATTCACCTTTGAGAGCTTCGTAGAGATCTTCTTTAATCTGAGAAACTGTAATATCATCAGTTTCGTCTTCTTCTTCTTGTTGCTGATTTGGAGAAGAAGCAGAGCTCTGTTCTGTGACTTTTCCGATGAACATAGGTCTGAGACGAAACGGGTTTTCAGTAAAACTCATCGTATTGCGATTGAGATTGGTGAAAGAGAGTAACATCTTTGCGTTTGTTCCTCGTGAAGCTGCCGCCATTGATGGTGACTGGATAAGCTTACTCGACATTGTCACAAAAGTCGCCAAAAAGGAGATCAAGAAGAAGGTAAAGAGATGATTAATGGGTAAGAAAATGTGATTTGGGAGAATAGAGAGTGAATTTTTTTATGGGGAGGAGAATGGATTTGTTTTGTTTATTTTATCTAATCTTTTAGCGTATCACCACCATACATACACTATGCAATACCACCAGTTGGGTGGGTGTTATAAAAATAGTTTACATAAAAAGTTAAAGATAAAAAATATACACATGAGAATGTAACAAAATACTTTTTTTTTTTTCGCCGATGCTTCATCTGTGGTTTTTGAGTCTTCCCTAGCCGTGTCGGTGGTCGGTCTTCATTGGGTTGGTGAGGATTTTTCGGTGGCAAGCTTTGCAAATCTGGTTTGGTGGTGGTGGTCTCTATGGTGGACTGGTAAGTTCGAGTGTGGTGACGTGAAGTTCTAGGGAGCTTGAACTACCGGAAGCTGTTGAGTAAGGCCAAGTGTTTCGACGCATGCGGTTCTTGAAAAGGGCTTTGCGGTAACGGTTGACTACGACAACGGTGCTTGTTGACGGCTACTATCATGGTGGTTTTCGGGTTAGTGCCGGCTCGGCTCTCTCCTCCACAGATCTGCGTTTTTGTTCTACCCTTCTCCGGTGAGGCTCAAGGCGGCGGTGTGTAGAAGAATATGGTTCTTTATCCGTGGAGTGGTTGCTTGACATCGACGGCGACAACAACCCTGGCGTAGGCGGCGGCGGCACCCCCCTGCGTTTAGATCTAGGGTTTTTTTGTGTATCAGGTTTACACCCGGTTTGGGGGTTTAACCGGTTTATGGGCCTTTATTAGTTTAGTAGTTTTATAAAGGTCCATAGAAAAACTCAAAAATATTTCAATATATATGAAAAACTTTTAACAAAAAAAAAAAGGGTTAGTTAAAACACGAGGGGGTTTTGTTAAGGTTTTTGTCATTTCCCTAATTAACCCAATTGTTTTTGCTATCAACCCTAATTTCCCCAAAAAAAAAAATCTCAATTACAGACTAGGACCAATGAGAATGTTACAAAACCAGATGGAAATGGTACTTCTTTAATTAGTTTTTGACTGATTTTTCACCTTTTGCTGGATATCAAATTTGATTTGTGGACTTTTTTTTTTTTAAATCAGAAATTTAATTTACATTTTTTTAATCTGAGTAACAAATAGAAATGTTTTTCTTTATCTAAATATACAATTAGAGTTGCTACAGTTGTTTGAACCACTAAAATTAGTTGTTTTTCAAGAGTTGGCTTTTTATTGTTAGTTTATTTGCCCACTAGATCACAGTTTCATAACAATGTTCTATATTATTGCTTCACCAAATCGTATCTTTCAACTCCCATTTGTTTTTTTTTTTTTCTGTCACATTGTAGTATATTAAACTATATATATTAATGATGATTTGAATAAGGGATCTTGTGTCTACTCGTTCGCATACTGTTGCAGCTCAGGTACATACATTACATTGCCTTTTTCACTCTTGTAATTAAGCTTATATATAATATTTTGATTCAAGTAATGAATTTTTTTTTTGGAGGGAGGTATAAATGCTGCGTTGGGTAATATGACTGAAGATGATTGGAGATGGCATATGTATGATACTGTCAAAAGGAAGTGATTGGTTAGGTACATGACCTCATTTACTTTTCTATTTTTAAATGTAATTTGTATCTTTTTTGTTTCTATAGGTGATCAAGATGCAATTCACTATATGTGCATGTTCACTATATTGCACTGAACATGGAAGATGGAACTTTACATCGTTTCCCATGTTAGTTCGACAATATTGGCCTCCGGCGTAAGATGAAATATTGCTTGAAAATGTATCTTGTTTTGGATTTTGTGAAACTGATCGTTTCTAAGCTAGACATGGTTCCTTGAATCAAGCTCCTTTTAATGATTCCTCTGTGTTCTTGTAGGGATGTTTTAAGGAGAAGGCAAAATGAGATTGGTCGTGTTGGTTTTGCTCTTCCACAATATATACTGGACATGGTATTTAGTTTGTCCGCAACAATGCAAATGTACTTAATTATATATGGCTTAAATCTTGAATTGACTGGAGAATCACATTAGTTTGTATGTTTTTAAAAAGTTTTAGTATGCTCTTTGATTTGACGATTTTTCGATCTTTTAACTCGTGCTTTGGACACATAAACTATAATCTTCAACTTTTCATTGAATGTCTCCTTGCTCGTATCTTATATAGTTTTGTAGCTTAAATTACCAGTTTTGATGTGTATCTTTAGTTAGAATTCTTCTATTTGCTCTGGAGAACTAAGTGTCTATTCTTACGGTGTGACTGGTGTTTAGAATCTATGGCACTCTTGGCTAGGAGTTTTGTATATAAGAGTTCTACAAGTATTGTGTTTGCACTGCCTATGTTATTGATGAGGATATAATCAAGCATCTTAATGTTTTTCATGTTATCAGGTTTACTCAGACACACATACTCTCTTTAGCTTTGTTTCTTATGCATATTGTGATTCAGTCTGAGTTGCACCGAGACGGATACGGGGACAAAAACAGGGACGGGAAACAGCAAATTGAAAAATATAGGGATACGGGTACGACATGGATACATCAACAAAAATATATAAAAATATGAACTAAGTCATATATAAATCTCAACATTAAAAAAAACTTTAGTATAAATAAGCTTAATCACTAAACATTCATTTTTAAAATCCAGTTTGTCTAGTCATGTAGCTGAAAAAAGTGAAGAAATAAGAAGTGAATAGTGTGATTAGCATTGAGATAATTAAAAACCTAGTAGCCTAGTTTAAATGATACACCAATTTTGAAAATTTAAGTATATTTTTATATATGAAGCAAAACCTATTATATTTCTATACGGGGACACCAAATTTGAATCCAAAACGGCTTGGGAAACGTCCCCATTATTTGCTATTGTCCCCGCATTGCTCAAAACGTTTTGAGAACGTTTCCGAGCCGTCCCCAAACCGTATCCGTCCCCGAAACGTCCTCGGTACGGGTACGTAACCCCAAATGCCGTCCCCGTGCTATCTAAGATTCAGTTACAAGCAAAATTTTCTTCTCCTCTTGCAGATTTTCCGGTTCTGTAGGTCTAAATGCCACAAGAACTTTAAGATGAAGAGGAATCCGGGTAACGTAAAATGGACTAAAGATGTTTCAGATTTTCCGATTTTATGTTCCAATTTGTTTTTATGTTTAAAATTTTATGAAATATAATATATTAGTGTTTTTTTATAGAATCTTGTATACTTATATATAGTAATTTTATTTTATCTTCATTTTTACACAAATTTTAAAAATTTGAAAAAACAAAAATATTTTTCTTTTATTTTATAACCACACTAGAGTCTCACCATTGGACACATAATTAGCATAAACTAATTGAGTCCCAAACACTAAATTGATATTACATTTAATATTAAAAATTTAGTTAAGTTGTGGCTAATTAATCAAAATGGCTGTATCCTTGTCACAAGGCCTAACAGAGTTTCAAGCATCTTTGGTTTGAGTTGTTGGAGAGTCTTGTGATGGTTTCCATTGTTGTGGAGTTTGAGCTTTCTTAATAGAGAGAGCATGAATCTCTTTCATTTCTTCTTCAAGTGCAGCATTCACCATACGGTGTCTCTCCAACATTCTCTTCCCTTCGAATTGTTCAGAGACAACCTCTACTTCAAAACTCGCACCACAACTGCAAAAAAAAAACGGTTTTAGCTTAAGATTGTGAACAAGAGATTATCTTCTAAGCCAGAGAACTAAAGATGTGTATGATATTGGTAATCATGCACTTACCCTCCAGATATGTCGACGACTTCCTGCAACACAAAAAAATGAACAAATGGATCAAATCCTTAAGCATTTTATAGAAAACTGAATGTAAAAACTGGAATAGTTGAACGCATGAATCAAACGAAAAGGGATTATGTTTAACTTCAATCTTCAGATGTTGTAAAGCAAAGAAACCAATACATATCCTTGCACAAGAAACACTCTTCGATTTGGTTTTGAATTCCAAGTCACAAACAACAAACATATACAGAAATTTTTAACGATAAGAACACTCAGCTCCTAAGTTATTAATACAACATGAAAACTCCATTGTCGGATCTTGAAAGAATACCAAATCCTTAAGAATTTTATAGAGACTCGATCAAGAAGGAAAATAGATTGATATTGGATCAAGTTAACTTCAATATTCACATGTTGTAAGGCAAAGAAACTTAAATTATACTCTTGGTTTAAAGGTCCAATTCACAAACAACAAAGATACCCAAACAATTTCCCAAATAGAACACTCAGCTACTAAGATCATCACAGTGTATCAAATTACTTTTTTTAACTTCGGTTTCAGAACAGAAAGATAACACATAGTGATGTATAATCTCTCTAGATGTTAAGGTTATACAGTTCATAGTACAACAACGAATTTAAACCGTGACAACAATAAAACTAAGCCATATCCCATAATTCTCTTCTGAGTCCAACTATTAAAGTTTATGGTTTGAGCCCAAAAAAAAAAAAAAAACTCAAATTGATGCTTGCAAATCCATCTTCCCTTAGAATCAATAAACAAAAACAATCTGTACATGCCTATTGGAAGATAAGCGATTAGGGTTTCTAATTTACCCCCAAAAAAAGTTTCAGA